GTAGCGTTTGTACTGAGGCTGGGATGTATGCTATTAGATCAAGACGAAAAATGGCTACCGAGAAAGATTTCCTAGAAGCTGTGAACAAAGTTATAAAGTCGTATGCTAAGTTCAGTGCAACTCCACGGTACATGACGTACAACTAACTAACTCAACATCGTTTACTTCGAATAAATCCCACTATAAATCAGTTGCTTTATATTTTGCCCTTTTAGTATTTTAAGAGAACAACAATCATTTTTCAATTTTCCATTATTAAATGTTGAAATTTTATCGAATAAGTACTTGTGATAGATGACTTGTTATAGGCAGCTTGCCCACCCCTGATTATTCCTGTTTTATATACATAGGGTTACAGATAATGATAGAGACTCCGTATAGCGGGTACACAAGATCCACAAAGATCTGTTGGGAAAACCCAGTCCAATGGTGCACGTGGGCTCCGAAATTCCAAGGAAGAAACATTAACCAACTAATATGCGACTGTACTTAATAATGATTCACTGTCTTGTGAATTAGACCTCTAGAGACTTAAGCAATCTGATGTCAGTGATTAGTTGAATGCAACCATCGAATACGGATTTCGAACCAGTCTTTCTTCAAATATATCCCACTCAAATTAGGCCTCTAATTTCTAACTAATTCAGGTTCAACACCATGAAGTGAAGGTCGGTTATGTTTTTAAAAAGTTCTGATATTGACGTCTGTCTTCTGTGCCGGATTCGTTTTCAAGACTAGTGATGTACTACAAATTTGCTCTATCTATTGCTTCCAAATACTCGTTTAACTTGCGTCTATCCAGAGTCCTTGTTCAGTGTGACCGGTTTAGCAGGCACGTGGGTTTAATCCGGGTAAACGCGATGGAACTACAAAGCTTCCGTTAGGACCATTGAGCCTGGTGGTCTGAGCGTGCTGACGAGTTGGGAACAGCAGTCGGACATGGTAACTTCTCGGAGCTCTTTCAACTCATCCGATTCACTGGCAGCAAGCAGTTCGGTGTGAGTGATGCAATTTATGTAGCTGAAAACGCCGAAAAACAACATATACCAAAATCTCGTACGGCGGTCAGAGCTATGTGAGGAACAGTTAAACTGGTCTGCTGTCCCAGCGACATCAGTGGGACTGTCCTGTTCTCAATGGTCAGTGAGGACTGGTCTACCTAACGACGTGGGATTCTGCAATGAACTCCAAATCTGGAATCACCAGGTCCAGATGACTTATCTCCGGCCCCTTTTAAAGATAGCGACGACCTGATTAAGAGACTAATTTGTCTACAAATTTCTGGCAATTAGTGAGTACTTCGATATTGTAGAATGAGTCGATTATTGCCTCTGTGTTTAGAAATGTTTCACTTCACCCATGTAGCATGTTATGACGTGCGGTGACCGAAATCAAATACTGATACACGGTATGCTATGCGCTAACCCCCAACTGACTACTGGAGCAAGAACGTGTACTGGACTACCTAATGAAGTGCATAAGTACTCATTCACATATATACCACTCTATCCTTAGGAAATTGACCCCAATGAAGTGCATTTGATCTTCGGGTCACTTCTGATCGCCATCAATTGACATTTTAATTACGCTACTTCTAAATGGCACTACATGTCACCTTCCCCTCCCGAGAAATAAATCTTGCTGCTTGAAAGCGTTGAGGGAAATTTCGTCTACATGATCTTGAGGTCTGGTTATCACTTCCGCGCCGATCGTGACACTCCCAGGTGACTGTATCAATTAAATAATCCAGTTGCAGGTACGAGCTAGGAAGTTCTCTATTTGAATTTAATCGTCTGTCACGAATGTGATTTACATGTTGCACTTTGTAAAACTGATGTTCAATTCTCTTCGAATTAAGTTTCTAATCTTATCTCCCTCTTTGTCAAACCTTCGAATCTTCCTTCCGAACATTGACTCAGCAGGAGAAACCCTAAGTAAGGCTGGATTCGAGATTATCGCTGCTGATTTTCTCGGTCGTGCACTCCCTTTGTAATCATTTTCAAAATCGTGATATGAGGATAGGAAGAGACTTGGTTACAAATAAGGTTAGATAACTGATCGAGCATTTATGAATCTGAATTACGAATGAGATATCTTTGATTCTGTGATCCAGTCAAAACCTAATATATTGAAGGATTCATCAGTAAAATAGCATGTGGATTTGGTTATTATATCATTAAATTTAACTGTACATTTGATGATTAAAGAAATTTTGATTAGGATGCCCGATGCATTTTATATAGTCATTAGTAGGATGAATGCTAGGCCGACCAAGTTTCGCGAAAATCAAAGTGACAACGGATGCAGTGTCCAACTGCAAAGTTATAATACGATCATTAACATTAATGGATAACTACTCGCGTAAGCATTGTGGATTTGACTATACATGTACAGAATTGATCCTTATTTCATCCTAGAATTGGATGAGGGTTTGCAAAATCCCTACTTATGGCCAATTATTCCGCACTTCGCGGAATGGGATGTAATAAGAGAAATGCCATGCGCCACAGTCCCAACAAGCAGTGCGAGACTGTAAATTAGAATCATGTACATTATACATTTGATTTAGGCGAGGAAAATTTTGCGAATCATGCTTTATAACACTAATTGTGCGATCTGAATGAGAAATTTTCATCAAGTCAAATGAATTGTGATTTGATTGTAAAGTCATTTTAGTATCATTTCGAAGATTAGTGAACTAATGTTGTCACATATAACAACAAACGTTTGTGACATCCTCCAACGCGATATTGGGATGGTTGCAGTTCACATATCAAGATGTGACGCTTAAACTGTTCGTCAGAAAGTGGGCGCAGCTTAACTCTCGTCCTACTTATTAGCGTTTGCTGCACGTGAAAAAAACCACCGTCAGGTTTTTAAGTCCTAAAACAATTGCATCGCAAATTAAATAAAGAAGATTGATTAATGAAATTTCGTTGATTTTAGTACAGTAGAATCAAATGAATAATCGTCGGGTTTCTTTGGCAAGTTCCCGACAGTAGTAACTTTCAAGAACCAAGATACAGAATCATAACCAGGATACAAAGCGACAAAAGGTATTTTTAAAAAGAACTAATCAACAAGTTACTATACAACCCTCATTGACTTTATATGTTCATGGCTTGCTCGTAAACTGGCATGCTACATTGAACCTATTTTTAATTGAGATAAAATTATTGTTACAAAAATTACGTGGATTTTTAGTGCCTATTTCGCTTCTCACCTGAATCGTGGACTTACACAGGAGAACACATAACAACCACAATCCTTTACTCCTGGGACTGTATAAAGGAAATCGAAGTCCTCGCGACTGAGCTGGTCACTGTATTGTAGTCCTGAAGCAGTGTGCAGAAACTAAGATGCAGGGAACAGGGCGATTTAATCTGATGTAGACCAATAGCAATATCTACAATATTATCCATGGATTTGATCAACAACGAGATAAGAGACTACATTTAATCTCATCCTATTATGAGACAGCAGGACGATCTGCTGGGACTGCTCACAAAGGTTGTACTGGTGAGTTCCCCAGATTCACTTCTCTGATGACTGACAAATTACGCATCTTCACAGGATGAAGGCACTGCTCTTGAATTAAACTGAAAATCATCCTAAGAAGCCTTATGTTCCTAACCATCATAACCAGGCTTTTAGAGAACATAGGTCCAATGGCTCCCATTTACGGAGATGTCGATATCTAGATACTTGTAGAAATGACAGTTTTACTCATAAGGTTTAGTTTCAATGTGCTGATGGGAGTGTTGTTAACTTGTACTGATACCTTTGTCCCAACTAGATTGCACAGGCTGCTCTTCGAAAAATTACGGCCGAATCTATTGAGATGCAAAAAGTGATTAAAATGTTGTTTGTATTATTTGACTGCCCTTTAAACGACTTAGGGAACTTAATATCTATCAGATCTACCAAATCCTCCCGGTTCCGTAGATAATAATTTACAAAGATTGTACTTATTTTATTGGTACAATATATACAAGTAACTAGGTCGTTTCGTAATGTTGTGAATGGTTAGGCGGAGTACACTCGCTGAAGGGAACTAAATTTCTCATTTGGACATAGATATGCCCAATCTTATGTGACAAGTATCAAGTAATGATTATAATTTGTGAACGCACACGAAGTAAATTTTCCATTTTTAAACACTTCATACTACGAACCTCCACTTTTAACAAGTGGAAAGACCATGAAACAATGTAGTGTACAAGTTTGGGGTTGCATACGATATTATGTACTTCTAAACCCCTTGGTATAAGCCATAAGTCGTTGAGAAGACCCAACCATTTTTATTTTCTACTGGGGGTTCTTTTAAACTAGCGTCTGAATACTTATAGATAAGGGACAAACAACTGTGATGAAATACTTCATATGAAACCAAACGAGTATTCGTGGTATCAAGTAATTGGAGCAATATTTCATCTAGCGATAAAATCCATATCACTGGTTTTTCCACTAAGCTATAAGCAAACGTAAACGGATAAAATGGGGGGAACTTTTGTCTCAGGATGACGATGGAGGTGTAGTGCTCTCTGATGTGGATGGTTTAGTCGTGAAACTTTTATTTTCCTTCAAGACAACATCGGCATATACTTCGAAATGAACACAATACAGGTGGAAATTTTGACCATTTACAGAAAAGCCGCCGTTAACATGTCTAGTTATACTACGATCGACAAACTATTAAATCCAAGTAGTTGTGGAAGTAGTTTTCACAGAATGTGAAGTAGGTTTTTTTGATAACTAATTCTTTTTTACATCCTCACTACTTTTGCTAAAATAAAGGTGCAGCAACACAGTATGAAGTATATCTTAAAAAATGTGGATGTATATAGTTGTTAGAAAGATAAGTGTGCAAGTGAATGAGTTAAAATGTAAACAAAAACCATGAAAGTGTTATGTATGTTTATAAAATTAAGTAAAACAATCATAACTGAAAGCCTATCAAAAATAAATAGTACCGTTGATAATAGAAACTACAAATTTTATCAGTTCAATTTATCAATTAGGTTGAAAAGTTTGATAAAATCGCTTTGGGCGCAGTCCTGTTGTTGACTGATAAAATTGGTTTTCATGAGCAATTTCGGAAGCCAAACATTCATGACTTTATGGAAACGCTCAGACGGATCTATACTATGTAAAAGTCGACCAATCCAGTATATAAGACGTCCACTGGCAAATAACATCCAAAGTGGATAAAAGCTTATGAAAGAATTTTTAAAATGTGGAGTATCGAATTCATCAATATTTGAGACATAAAACGGACAAAGCACCTCAAGCAGTGCAACTAAATGATTTAATCCAGATGCCATAGATTGCAATTCATTAAGTTGGTGAACATCCTCGATACAAAAGAAAGGTGAATTTCTTTGGCAATAAACTGATTTTGCTAAATCAGCACACTTATTGAGATGTGTGCAAATAGAGTTGACAAAATCTCCAACAGCATTATTTCTACCAAGAAATTCACAATTTGAATTGATAGCGATTGCACAACATGATAGTGCAAGTCCAACCGGTGATGTTTGAATGTTTTTAGCGTCATACTGAGCATGAAATGAAGACCTGAACCATAAAACTAATAAAAGAGCTAAACCTTGTATTTCAAGAGGCTTGAAATCTTTTACTAAATTCACATTAAAAGACTGAGAGAAAAAAGATACGAACGAAAATTCAGGTGTTTTAGCACAAGGGGGTTTCAGAGGCTTCACGGAAACTAAAGTCTTCGTCAATTGACCATTCGACCTTCTTCTGTACTCAGTGACACACTCATTCTCCATTCCATATAACTTTTTATTGGTGCCTAAGTGATTTTCAAAGCCATATATGAGTCCATTTAAAATACTTCTCATTCTGGACATACATTCGTTAATTGAATAAGGACTCTTTATATCCTCCACTACTTGACGAGGGACAACGCCGTTTCGCACATACATGTAGTCCAAAATACTTGGGATTAATTCCAAAGATATAAATCGTTTAATCAATTCTATCGGCCAATGGTGAAATATACTATCTTTATCATTACTTCGCTCCAAAATAGGTTTATAAAATTTGGAAGGATCTTCAAAGCAGGAACTCCATGAAGTTGTGGGATTTTGAATGTTTGAATTTTCAAGTTTGCTTGATGATGGGACACTTAATGAGACATGGTGTTTATTTGAAAAGCCTAATGCATAAGCCAGGTTTTCGCCTGAATTATTCAGAAAATAATCCGAAGTCCCCAAACGTATTGTCTCCTCAATACCGTCCCTTTCAGTTGGGCTGTAAAGTGACAGAATCAATGACAATGGTTGTTTCATGTCACGGAAATTTAAGAGCCAGTTAAATATAGCATGGATACGTCTTTGATAGTAGGACTTGTTCTGTAGATCAGAAGTATGGATTAGAGAATTGATGATAGCTGGAAGGTGAATATTTGATGTTATGTCGTTACCAACGAGGATGGCAAAAAGTGGTAACATAGGATACTTGAGTTTATAAAACGGTCCTGAATTATTAAGAACTGTACACGATATAAAATAGCATGGAGCACCATTAAGTTTACAAACAGAACAAGGGAGGGATCTCTGCTTACAATCAAGTAGAATAGATGAAAGTGGAATAAAACTATAGACTTGATTGTCATCAATTGGTCGATAAATAAAAAAATCAGAATCTCCACTAGTAACGGGACATTGAAGATAAATAGCTAGTTTTGCTATACTGATATCAGCTTCACGTTCACATGCTATGTATAGAACTGAAAATTCCCGTAGAATTTCCACAAGAACATGTCTACAAAGTCGTGGAGTTATATCGATTTTCGAGTCTAGGCTATCTAGATTAGAAATTGAGTTAATATCACGAAGAGCTGATGACAGTTTATTAAAGTGGTCAACGTTTCGCTTCAACAAAGTATCCAATTTTGATCCCTTAGGAAAGCGGAAAAAGTTCATTAGTTAACTTATAAAATAAATCACTGTATGTTACAAACTCGAAAAATATGTTGCTCAAAATGTTGTGTTTAGTTTCTTTTCATTTATCATATTTGGTTGTAAATGTTTTACTATCACTCTAAGAAATATACCAATAAACAAAAGGGTAATGATGAAATCACACCTCGAGAAGTAGTAAAAAACGTATTACTAGTAAGCTCGAATAACACTAAATAATTTTAAGTTGCACGCTTAATAAGTAAATTATCCTCGTATGAGATAGACTTCTAGGTATACACATGACCGTATGAATATGCTAATTTGTAAAGGTCATTGCTCATAACTCGAGTCTCAATGTGAAACATAATGTCTTGTTGAAAAATCCTAAAAACACAAAATATTTGATCTTTTGCAGCATTAGCAAAATGGATGGCCTATGAACAGACGATAGCGCTTGACACGCATATTTTTCGATGATTTAATTAATTAGGCATTTAAGGTAAACATTTATAATTTCTATAATGCAATGATTGCTTAAATTAATTATGATACTATGTACAATACTGATAAGATGTATACTACACAATATCACAATAACTTTCTATTTTTAATAAATGCTCAAACATTTAAGAAGAATGGAATATATGTAGGTAGCAAGGACAAAAAAGTACTATGATAACGAACGCATACCTCTTTAGAATGACATCCATCAAAAACGAAGATTGGGTCCACACGACAGATACGAAACTGTTTTAGGAATAACTGAACATAACTTTTAAATGCTAAATACTCTCCTCCATATTCACATCGCAAAGCAGCTTGACGATAACAGAGAGAAGCGAAGTTTTCGGCATCAATAACTAAAGGCTGGTTATGCAATTCATACGGGGAGAAGTTTTCACTGTTACTTTGAATATACGTCCACAAGCCTCGGATACCCATCTGTCCTAAAAGATAAAACGAGGTGCTGCGAGCATCAGAATCTTTAACAAGAATAACAGATAAGTAAGGCAAGAAGAAAACATTCGCATCTTGATATGTAGAAAACCTGACACCTATAAAACATATCAGTAAATAACTAGGTGGATAGAAATTTTATAAGGTGTAATAATGAATATTCATTACTAGGTAAGTGATACAATAAACCCATTTATTTAACAATCAAATAATAATATTCTATTTCTCCTAGACCAGTTTATTTTCTTTAATAACTTCGATCGCTATTTCACTATATGCTTGGTTACTTTTACTAGATCAGATTTAGAACAACTTGGTACTAAAATGACCTGCAGCTTGTCTGCCAACCTGACAATTTAGCAATAGCATATGCAATTAAGTAGAGTTCACATAGAAAAATATTGAATCGTCAGAATAGCAATGTATTTAAAAATATATACATATGATGTTATTCATCACGCCAAATTGCATCAACAGCATCTGTACGATAGCGTTGGGAGACAACAGAGTCTTTCAGCGGAAAATTCAAACCGGCATCAAACATTAGACATGCAGTATGTGCTATCATAGCACCATTATCAATACAAAATCGCTCATCAGTTGCGAATAATTTAGCACCACGCTCTTCAGCCATACAGTTCATCATTTCCTGTAGACGCACGTTGCAACCAACACCACCGACAATGAGAACCTCCTGGAAAATTACGAAAGGTAAAATACTCATTTAAATATAATAAGACTAATTAGTTAATAATTAAAAGAACTTAAGATGAAAGCTGTTGTACCTGTCACTATATCTTAATTGACTTGCACGTGATACTAAAAATCGCAAATACAACGACGTGTAGTGTTGATAATTTATTTGACTTTCAAAATAAATCAACATGTTAGATGCATATACTATTCTTTATATAATTTATATTACAGTCATATTAACAATCACACTTGTATAGTTTGACGGGGTAGTATTTAAGAAAAATAAATCAATATCATACCCTTAAAAATGACTACAAATAGACAAGCGAATACGTTATAGTGTCAATTACTATGTTAAGCCCATATAACTTCTAGCTTCTGAACAGACCAATTTATCCATTCTTCTAGAGTCAGGTTTTGGCCTTGTTAATTATCCACAAATCAACCCTGTTTTCATATGAGCGCATATATGTGCACATTTTATCCTACTCATCACATGTCCGTAGTTTATTTTTGTGTGACTATAAATATTGATTAACGCTTGGTTGAATCGAGTTGGCTCACACGGCTTCACGGCACATCATTTCGCTTCGCTTCATTCCTCTGATTGTCTGTCATGTTTATTTAAAGTGTGTATTTAAAGTAAAACAATCGAAACTTGAGCAACTTGATCAGCGAATTGAACAAGTAAGAAAAAGATGGGAAACACAAACTATGGCAAATAGTCTTTGGAATAAAAGCTTGGGGAATCTAATTTGTAAGAAATGTTTATATTTTTGGGCGCCATTAACTAGTGATTGATAATCTCTAATTCAAACAAATATATGGTACCATACTTTGGTAGTATTTATATTATATTATTGTCTAAAGATAGCAATCTTTCTAGACAACGATCGGACAGAGACTGACAAGTATAGAGCAGAGTTGAGTTCACTAGAGTACCTTTTATAGAAACAGCGAAACTTTGACATAGATAAACTAAATTACCATAAACTTTTCCTCTAGCAATCTAGTTAGTTTCAGGTTGAGAATGTCACCTTGTCATACTAAAAAGATCTAGAAATAAATCTTCTGAACCGAGTATCTTGTGACGTCCTACTAATTGGAGTTTTTTTGTAAGATATCATTACGTCGGTTGGGGTACGATTTACAGAATTTCCTAGAGCAGGGGGTTAGTCAAACCGTCGTTCAGAGGGCTTTATTTAGTGCTCTAAGGATCTTTAAGTATGTGCATTAAGTGCGCTATCATTTCGATATTTTTTTATTGGCATTAAGAATTTTATTCAAGTGACTTAGACGAACAGGCGATAAGTTCTATCGACTCCCACTTTGAGTCTTGACTATTAGATCAAGTATTCCTTGCAAAATCTTCGATAATTCAGGGATGAAGATTACTACAATATGTTGGATTAAATGAGCTGAGATTAATTAGCATTTGTCTAAAGATCACAAGAAGCCTAGTGTTTACGATTACAGAGTTAGTCGAATATTTACAGAAAGTTTTTTTAGGTCTTGCTGTTGCAGTTAACTAACATGTAATTCAACTCGATCTTACATAATTCGTTGGGATGTTGAATGTAGCTAATTTAATGACCAGATATCTAAATGAGTTTACAGAATATTAAATCATGACCAAAATCCAAAAGTATACATTAAAATAATATACAATCCACCAAACATCCACTTCATCAGTTTCCTTTCTTTATGCAACACAGTGAATAAAAAAGAGACCAAACACATTGAATAATTGTACTTCGTTCGATGCTACAATCATTTTGTTGCTATGCACAGTTTAAATTCAACGGTAGTAAACTTTGTAAAACACAACATATTTGAGATCTACAATCATAATGACTAGAAAGATGTAAGTCAGTTTATTAATAAGATCATGTTTATAAATTTAGTATACCCGCTTTTTAATGTCGAACTGTCTAGTAATTAGTATTGGGTCCACTACATGAAATCAGAAAAAAATCAATAAGTCAAAACTTCTAGCAAACAGAATTAGTTTAAATTAACCATATGGAATGCCTAATAGAAAATAATACATAGCAGTCAAAAGAGCAGATTTTGGAAATTAACAAGAAATTGTAAATAATTTATTTAACTACGTAGTGTTGCAGGAGAATTTAGACCAGGAAAAGTGGAAAACGATATGCTATAGATGTTAAAGATCCCTAAAAGAGAGATGATTTGGAAATTGATTTGTTATTTCTAGATTTTCTAACCCAAAGTTAAGAGGCAACAAAATTCCATTTGAAATTGCTAAATATCTTTACTATATCGATTACATGACTTCTGTGGTTGTTTTTGGTATGCTACGCTACACTAATTTTTAATATTCAGTAGCTTGTTATCTACAAACATATAATTGGCGACTCATTGATTTATATGGTTGAGTTAATTTGTCGTGACGAACCATTCAACGATACTCTTCTTCCAATATTTGATTTTTTATTCTAAACAGCACTTAATGCTTTTTCATCGCTTAGTCTACCTTTTATGATGCATTCTCTGGAATTCCAGTTATTTTGAGCTATTGGATTAGTCTGGAAACATTGTTTCATTTACCCATGCTGATTCCTAATAATCCCATTTGACACACGAGTGCTGAAGCACGACGTATATCCACTTGCTTGAAGGAACCGAGTTTCACTAAACTACAGGTTTTTTGACCAAATTGAATTCAAGACTTCACACATTTAAGGGTTGGGAAACTCCAGTGTTTATACACATTTATAAAAGTACCGCATTTCCATAAAAATCTTGCTGGTTTCAGATATGATCTATTTTGTATTGTTAAGCATATGCAAAATCTTACAGGATTTTCATGGAGGATTTCAAAACAAAGAGGAACTGTGCGATGTAATAAATACTGACAAAATCATTATGAAACATACTTTTCTGTTTTAAAAAAAGCTCATATACATTCACAAGGTAAAGTGAGACCAAATGTATAACTAAAGAGATTTCAAAGCTAATTAAATATACTGTACAACTTACAAAAATAAATCAGAATCAGAAATATTTTTCCGACAAAATAAATAAATAAAATCGAAACTACTAATATAGACATTTGACAAAGTAACTGAGCGACTAACTATGGGATAACTTATGAAACAACGAAAAGTAAGTTCATATATTTTTTTCTGGATGTTTAATGTTATTACCGTTTAAAACTAATCATATACACAAATTAGTTGGTGACACTTAAAATCAAATAAACTTACGTTTGCAGCACAATGTGCCATAGCCCGTTCAGTAATTTCTACAACCATAGCAAAAGCTGTTTCTTGGAGACTAAAGCATAAATCAGCCACGGTGTATTCACCAGTTTCTAAAAGTTTCGGTGCACGCTCTTCCAAAAATGATAATAATCCTGCAAAAGAAACATCCATACCCTTTACTGCATATGGTAACTCAAAAAATTTGGATCCCTGTTTGGCTAACTTCTCAATGTTATAGCCGGGACTTGGATCATTCGAAAGATTTACAATACGAGCAAACCTAAAGGGAGAAACACTGTGGGTTAGGTATGGGTAACTGAAATAACAGATGCACAATAAAAAGAGACAATTAAATTAATTGGAAGAAAGATGATTATTAATATTCAAAGTAATTATTAAATCAAGAAGTTGCTACGTTGCATAATATTCGAATTGTACGCACTATATAACTGGCTCCACAGGAGCAGTTGAACCGATAGATACACATGGATTTGGCAAACTCAGGCAGTCTGTCTTTATTGGCCGTTCTTGTTTTGGGGTGGTTGTAGAAGATAGCATTCAATCTGGCTGCATTAAATGTTTTTTGTACAGCTCTTCTTAGTTTCTGAGTCACGATCTCTTCAGTAGTATCATTTATGAATTGTAATTTTATGAACAGTACTTTCTTAGGGACCGTAGGTATCTTTGCGCTTGTTTTCATCTCCATTATATATTTGTCGATGAGTTTCATAGGGTACCCATTTATACTAAGTAAGTTCCGAATTTTAACCGATTCTTCTTCAATGGTGTTTTCCGAACAAATCATTCTGGCACGATGAGTCAAGATCTTTATCAAGTTCCTTTTGTATCGGATTGGAACTGCACTGTAGAAGTGGGTGTATTATCCTGTTGCAGACTTTCTGTGTACCTCTCTTTTTAAAGTTCCATCTGCTCGTCTAGTTAGTTGGACATCTAGAAATGATATGCTATTGTTCTGTTCATCTTTTGATGTAAAATTAATTGATGGATAAACGTTATTAAATGTGTTAAGTAAATTGTCCTTATCATTTTCTTTTTCTAATA